ACATGATCACCTATTTTCTTGTTAACGTCACTTTGGGTTTTCTGAGTTGTTTTTTCGATTTCATCCACCAGCCTCTGGCTCTCAGCTACAAGTCGCTCTGACCTGGATCTCTGACTCTCCGCACTGGCATACTGTGTCTTGTTTGCAATATGCCACTCTGGGGGGAGGAACTTGGGTGGAGCTTGCAACAGTTTGGCCATTGTCTTTTTGAAAGATCCTGAACGTAAAGCAGCAGCTTAGCTCTTAGGATGGAGAACCTGAAAATGGGATAATATTGTATCAGGTCATTTGGGCACAGATAGCAAAACAATCTGCCTTCAGGTCAGAGAGGATAGGGTGGAAACTGGGTAAGTAGTAGCCCCTGGATGAAGTAGGTGAAGACTTCACGTGGACCAGACTTCGGGTCAGCTTGGAGGATGATGAGGGAGAAGGAAGGCACTGGCAGCCAAACCACATAAAGCAAAATCATGGCTCATGGAAATCCGGGGGATGGAATAAAGGGAGAGACGGGGCTTGTAGGGCAGGGAAGAGTAGGGAGAGAAACTGAAAAGGAATATGGAAGAAGGTGAGAGATAACATAGGGAAAGAAAGAAAAAACATGGGGAAAGGAGAAAAAGGAGAGCGAAATTATTCAAGGGACAAATAGGGAAAATTAAAAAAGAGAGGAAGGCAACATCAGAAAAAGTCTCTTGAAGAGAAAGAAGAGATGTAGGAACAGGGGTAGAGGTGACATGAGCTGAACATTTTAAAAAGGATTAAGCAGAAATATTAGACTAAGGGAAAACAGACCTGAAAAAAGATGGAGGAGAAAATACACCAAGAGGTACAAGGGAAGGAGAAAGTAGAAGGAAGGACAGAAGAAAACAAAACAAAAACTAAGACCAACTAAGGTAATTTTTGTTACTTATGGGAATGGTGATGCCAAGTGGTCATGATAAAATACATGAATTTGGTACAATATATAAACGTATTAGAATATACCCTTGTGCTGAAAAGGTGATTTTGTGCTTCCATCCTACTATTTCCCCAACAATCCCTTCCCTAAACGCACACAACACACCAATCCCTCCCTTTAAATCCATCCCACTCCCATCGCTACCCAACAAATACAGACATAAATCAGTCTATGCCGCCAAACCCATCCACACCAATCTGTCCCCTCAAACCACACACATACTTTGCTGGTGTGGCTACTGGCCTGACTGTTGCTTATGGCAAAAGCTCACCCAGTTCTAAGATCTTGGCTTCCCTTAACCAGCAGATTCACTCCAGATTGTGACTTCAGCCTCAGTCGCTGCAGCAGTGAAGCATGTTTTTCCCCCGAGACTGAATATTCCAGGAACAGACTCAGAAACAGCCTGGAATATACACAAACGTGTTCCTATGGGAACAAGGCAACACTTCACCTTGGCAACAGAGGCGGGGTTCTGGAAGAGACACATGGCTGGAGAATAATAGTGCTTTTCCTTCCAGTACATGAGCATCTATCTCTCTCTCACGCAGACACTTAATGCACTTGGATTTATTGTTACAATTAATTATGTTAGGGTGCCTACAGCCTGGGCCAAGCGGCTTTATTATTTTAAATCTAGCTAACTAAATGAATTATCATCTACCTTGTACTGAAACCTAGTAACAAGAGCTTTAAGTATCAGAGGAGTAGCCATGTTAGTCTGGATCTGTAAAAAGCAACAAAAAGTCCTGTGGCACCTTATAGACTAACAGATGTATTGGAGCATAAGCTTTCGTGGGTGAATACCCACTTCGTCAGACGCAGCTTATTATCTATTATGTAAAGCCACTAAGAACTGGTGAATCTTTTTACCTGAAATAAGTGTTCTGTATTTCTCTTGCAGCCCTCATCCTTACCTGTGTTATTGCCATCAACTGGAGAAGGGGAAAACATAAAACTTTGAACTCAAGTCCAAGAGGAAATACTCTCAAAATATTTTGTTTGTAAAACATATTTATTTGTAAATATCAAGCCTACACATATCCTGTTTATTGGTTTATGTATCTAAAACTTCCTCTTTATTTTTAAAACCTCACAGGGAACCCTTAAAGAAACACCGTCAAATAATTTTATTCCCTAACTTAAATTATGGTTAACACAAGTTTTAATTAAACTTGATATGGATGGAGAGGATTTTTTAAAGTTAAAAACAATCAGAATCATTTTATTCTTAATAATTAAAACAATTTTTAACATTCCTAGGCCATTGTGAACCCAGACACCATCTCATGCTAATCCAGAAAGAGAAACTGAGCAGTCAAGTTTCCCTGTTTGAATTAAATGTAATAATAAACAAACAAAAATAAGCAACTGAACACCATAAAGGGAAAAGGAAATGTGATCTTTCAAATTTTTCTGATTTTAATAATTTTTAAAAATTAAATAAAAATAAGGTATTTAATAACCTCAGATAGAATCATAGAGATGTAGGGCTGGCAGGGACCTCAAAAGTAGAGCCCTGCATGGATACAAAATTTATATCCACGGATGCTGATATCCGCGGATATAAAGCAGATATCCGCGGAGCTGCAGGGCTCTACCAGGAAACGGAGCGGCGAAAGCAGCAAAATGTCGGGTTGCTGCTCGCAAGAGCCAGCCCGGCAGCTCCTCCAGCGTGGCTGTTCCGCCCCCAGCCCTGCCCACTGGGGCACCAGGCTCACCACCAGCTGTCCCTGGTCACACTAGTGTGTGTGAGCAGCTCGCATGCTCCCAGACAGGGGACACACACTCAGGGCCAGCTCTAGGTTTTTTGCCGCCCCAAGCTCAGGTGGGGCTGGGGCTCACAGGCAGCGCTGGAAGTGGAGGGAGTGATGTCACCTTCTCCCAGCGCCTGCAAAGGCTTTACCCCCTCCCCCATCTGGCCATGCGAAGAAGCCCCGATATAAGGGGTGGCACAAGGCAGCGCAGCAGCCAGTGCGCAGATGAGGCGGCGCAGTCCCGCCTCCCCGGCAGGACTCGCCCTCTCCTCCCCAGGTAGCCAGGGCCGGCTCCAGGGTTTTTGCCGCCCCAAAAAAAATAAAATAAAAGCTGCGATCGCGATCTGCGGCGGCAATTCGGCGGGAGGTCCTTCGCTCCGAGCGGGAGTGAGGGACTGTCCGCTGAATTGCCACCGAATAGCTGGACTTGCCGCCCCTCTCCAGAGTGGCTGCCCCAAGCACCTGCTTGCCAGGCTGGTGCCTGGAGCCGGCCCTGCAGGTAGCGGCTGGGCCCTGGCAGTTCAGCATCCCGGGACTGGAGCTTCCCCTTCCTGCTGCGGCCAGGGGCACGGCGCCCTCGCCCCATCTAAGTGGAGCAGCTCCAAGAGCGCAACTGCCCCGGAAAAAAAGGATGGCCGGAATGCCGCCCCTGGAAATCTGCCACCCCAAGCACGTGCTTGCTTTGCTGGTGCCTAGAGCCGGTCCTGCACACACTGCTGTGTGGAAGGGACGCCTGTCTGGGAGCCGCTCACAAATGCTAGCGTGATGTGGGACAGTTGCTAGTGTGCCTGGTGCCCACTCCAGTGGGCAGGACTGGGGGGCGGTACAGCCATGCTGGAGTTGCTGCCTAGGCTGGGTGCTGGCTCCTGTGAGCAGCGACCCGACATGCTGCTGGTTTCACTGCTGCGGTTCCTGGTAGAGCCCTGCAGCTCCACAGATCTCCGCTTTATATAGATATCAGCATCCACGGATAAGCATTTTGCAGCCGCACAGGGCTCTACTCAAGAGGTCATCTAGTCCATCCCCTCATGCTGAGGCAACCTGGCCATGCCTGACAAGTGTTTGTCTAACCTGCTCTTAAAACCTCCAAGGCTGGGGGATTCCACAACCTCCCTTGGAAGCCTATTTCGGTATTTAACTATCCTTACGGTTAGATTTTCCCTCCATATAACCTACATTTCCCTTGCTGCATATTAAGCCCATTACCCCTTGTCCCAGGAGGCATTATTATTATTATTTTATTTTGACATTTGATACAGTCTTTATTCAAACTTGATTACAAAATCCTTTATGCCACAAGCACACAGGCTCCACCAACTTCTTTGATCTTCTCCTCTGCTTTCCTGCTGAAGAATTTTGCTTGATGAGGCCCCCATCCCCGACCCCATCCCCTTCAATGCACTGGGCCTTGGTTGCTGCATCCCCCTCAATACACAGACCCTGCAGCATCTCCCTGCCCCGCCCCGCCCCCCTCGCCTCACCCACAGCCAGCCAATCCCCGAGCCGCACTATCCCCGCAGCCAATCAGCTGCCCCCAGGCTGAGCCCGCCCCGCTGCACCACTCATCGATATTCATAAGGTCTCATGAATATGCAAAGCCGGGCGGCCGATGGGGGCAGCCGAGATCGTTCGCACATTGGCGGGCAGAACAGCGGCGCGGCCGCGATTGAATTGCGATGCGGGAGGGCGCAGACAGAGCCGCCTCCATGTGCGCTCAGCCAGCGGTTCCTCGGGCCGGGGCTGCCGCCGCAGCCACCGCAGGAACCAAGCTCACCCACCCGGGCAAGGCGATCCTGGCCGGTAAGGAGCCTCCCCGGCCGTCCCCGCGCAGGGAGGGAGGAGGAGGAGGAGCCGCAGCTGCAGCCCGCCCCGCCCCGGATAGGGCCGCCAGGCCGGGGGAATTCAGACTCCCTAAGTGCCCGCCCGCACCGCGCCTCCCCTGCCACAGGGGTGTCACCGTGTGTAGCCCGCCCCGGCCGCGGCTTTCCCGAGTCCCAGCTGGGGGCGGGGCGGGGCGGGGGCCGGTTGCGGTGATGCGGGGGGCGTGGCAGCGCGTGCTGGTGTGAGGGGGCGTTGGCTCGAGTGTGGGGTGCTGCGGGGGGCGCCGGTCTCAGCGGGGCTGGGCGAGGGAGGCCTGCTGGGGGCGGTAGAGGTCGGCTTCAGTGGGGCTGTTGGGGGGGGGTGG